CTTTTTTCCCTTTTAGACCTCCCACAATGACCAGTCAGTAAGCTTGAGAATGGGTGGGCAAAGAAAAAATTCTAAACGTTAATGCTCAGAATACCAATTATATGATTATTTACAGTATACTCTGTTATGAAGACCTCCATCTTTTGGTTTGCTTGCTTCTTTGAAGAAACAGTTGGTGCGGTGAACGGCGTTGGGGATGGGATATTATGCGAGGAGGGGAGTGAGCTAAGAGTTCAAACAAAAGAGACCTTGTGTGATTGTCTTTTGACTTTTGACTCGCATGGGGTAACCCGTTTCCGAATTAAAATGTGTTATTTCAAGGAATGGTTTTAAAGCCCTTTGCACTTTAGGATTAAAAATGAAGGGAAAAACAATTTCTAAAGGGACAGGAGAAAATAATGTGATTCGAAACTCGTGGGCACACCTGCTGTTGACCAAGCTAAGAACCAACTGGGCAACAACGGAAAGCCTTAAAACTTGGATTAAATGACCTTGAAACAACTAAAATGAAAGGAGAAGCAGCAACAAAGATCTGTTTGTTTAATCCTCCAGCACGAAACAGCGCACAAACGATTTTATGCAAAAGTGCACTCAATGTTGCGGCAAACAGTTTCTTTTAAGCTTCATTAGGTTCTTTAGAAAGCCCTGGAGTTTTGGAGTTCTTTGGTGTTTTTGAGGCAAATTTAGGTGTTTTTGCCCCCCATCGACAAAATTTAGAATGTATACAAGAGGCAGTCCTTCGACCCTGTCTGTCAGGCTAACCAGTGTTGAGAGGGATACAACATCCCAATAGGAACATTGAGTTCCTAGATTAAAATTCTCCCCACTCGGTGATCGAAATTGGGTCTCCTGCAAGCGACAGCAAAGCCTCTAACCGCTACACCACAGACGCTCAACCGATCAATATAAGAACTCGTCAAAACAGCTTAAGGATATACTGTTGTCTAAGCTGGCGCCATGCCGGGATTCGTTAGAGCAACCATGTTTGGAATGTCCGCCGAGATTTATTTCAGCTTTGTTTGTGTTAGACGGGTGTCTGAGGTGTAGTTGTTACGTTCTCTTGCCTTTTCATTCCAAAGACATGAGTTCGGATCTCATTTAGGTAAATGTTTGTTTATCGACTATCTCGGTCTTTCTGTGGAATTCTGCATCTCTCTTAATTCCCAGCAGGATTAGTTCTGATAGGCAGAGACGAATCAGTCCAAATCCAGAATAATCTACGCTTGAGAATTTATCGTGGCTTGCCGATGAGAGCTAAACACGTTTGCGATCAATCATGATTGACTGGAGAGTTTTCAGAAATCTAAACTCAATGGATCCTATTTCTAAAAATATACGTTAAATTGGGGGTGCTACTTCAAATACTACTTCATCAAAAAAGGTGAAAAGCATCCTTCATATTATCCACAAATGGCAACAAAAAGGCAAAAAGGCACATATATAAAGCGTTGTTATGTGGTCAAATGTGAAAGAGTCAAAATGGTATAGTTTAACGCCCCTTGCAACACTATGATGAGGTCGTGTAAGACTAGTAAGAGGCAGGGCCCTTGACTTAAACATCCATCTCCGGTGGGACCGTAAAAAATGAGAAAATTCGTGTAAAGTGCTTTCCCAAGAGCACACTTGTCGGACGGAGCTGATCCTATAATCCTCGAAGGCACAGTCTCAGGATTACAGGTTCAGTAACCTCATCACAAGACCATCGGCTAAAGTTCCGTCGCGGGTGGTTGGAGGGCGCCTTGTAGTTTCTACGTCTTTTCATTTCATGTGTTGTTTCTGTATATATCTTTCTTGCTTTTTCCCTGCACCTAATGACCGTTATTATTATGTCAGTGTGCTTCTCTTTTCTCAAATCAAACTCATACTCAAATGTTACGTCTCAATTCAAAACCGAAGCAATGGTTGGTTTGTTTTATGTCCGTCCAGTTGCAGGAAATGTTGGTGCAGCTCAGGCACAGCTTCTCGGAGACCTGTTCACGACTTACGAGAAGGATGTGCGGCCTATCTGTGACACCGACGTGGCGCTTGACGTCTATGTTGGTCTCGCTATCAGACAGATCATTGAACTGGTAACTTTCTTTGTATTGATAGGGTTCGCATCATTGAATGGGCAACTATTTCTGTGGGGATAGTGTTCACATCATTGTATAACCATTTACTGTTTTGATAATGTTCATTGAAAAAAAATTGATAACCATTTCTGTATGAATAGTGTTCACATCTTTAAATTGCTAACCATTTAAATTTGTTGTATTGTTAGTGCTCATATAACTGAATTGATAACCATTTCTCTTTTGAGAGCAATCACTGGATTTGACACTAATTGTCTTTAAACCGTCAGATCATTGAAACGGAAATCACTTCTAATTAATTTTATAGAGTCAAATTGCATGTACACTTATCCCATTTGGCGGTTAAAAAAACAAACAAACACAATATGTTGACCCCCTGTAAGCTCCATTGTTCTTCTGTGGTGACACCGATGAGGGATTAGATGTGAATAAAAGCTCGACAAGTTCTCATTCTCTGTGTCCATCATGCTGATTAAAATTAAGAAGACAAAAGAATCAGTTCGGTTAGAGAGCGGTTATCTTGACCCATTGTCACATATCTGAAGCAAAACGCATATCATATCCATGCTATTTGTCAAGTGTTGAAGCATTACTTCTGTCCCGAAAGGCGTATTGAACATGGATTAATGCAATTTGCTGGAATTATATTTGATATTTGAGGCATCAGAATCGTGATGGATATTGAGTAGGCGTTGCATATTGCAGTATTTCAGCAACAGTGAAACAATCTTTAAAAAATGATTGTATGTGTTGAATCTATCTATCTATCTATTTATCTATCTATCTATCTATCTATCTATCTATCTATCTATCTATCTATCTATCTATCTATCTATCTATCTATCTATCTATCTATCTATCTATCTATCTATCTATCTATCTATCTATCTATCTATCTATCTCTCCCTCTGTATATATATATATATTTATATATATATATATATATATATTATATATATATGTGTGTGTGTGTGTGTGTGTGTGTGTGTGTGTGTGTGTGTGTGTGTGTGTGTTAGACGATGCATGATTTGAAATAGAAAGCCTTGCTTTAGATTGTTCTTAGGTGTACTACAACTACAAGTTCGAGGGTCGTTCAAAAAGTTTTGCCTCCTCTTTAATGACTTCTAAACTATTCAAGATATCTTCATTAAATTTGTACATAATTGACTTTCAATATGTATACTCTCAACCCCCCTCTCCCCCCCAAAAAAAAACACAACAACAACAACACACACACAAACAACAGCATTATACTATGCTGTCACACCTTTATGCTATTGCTGTTTACATCAATGAAGCTAGGGTATATTGTCGCCGAGAAAATGGCGTACAGCAAATCTATGAATGTGCGCTTAAAGCAAAGAGCTGTTGAGTTCCTTATTGCAGAGGGAGCTGCACCCATCCATATTCATAGGCGAATGAAGCTTGTCTATGGTGAAGCATGTGTAGATGTAAGTACTGTTCGAAGATGGGCAAAGGAGTTCGTTGAAACCAGTCCAGCAGAGACAGATTTGTATGACCAAGCTCGTTGTGGTCGTCCCAACTCTGCCAGTAATGTTCAATACCAGGAGAGAGTGGATGAGATCATCAAAGCAAACCGGCGGATCAAAGTAAGAGATGTCATTGAAATTCTAAGGACTTCTGTAGGGAGTGCTCAGTGTATTATCCATGGTGTGTTTGGTTACAGGAAAGTGTGTGCCCGATGGGTTCCCAACATGTTGTCACTCGAGCTGAAATTGAACCGAAGTCAAGTTAGTGATGAACTCCTGACTCGTTATACCGATGAAGGTGAAGCTTTCTTACGCCGTATAGTTACAGGAGACGAGACTTGGGTACACCATTATGACCCAGAATACAAAAGACAATTGAAATAATACAGGCTCACTGGCTCACCTACCACCAAAAGTTCAAAGTTGTTTCATCTGCAAAGAAAGTGCTTATGACAGTGTTTTGGTACTGCGATGGTCTGATTCACATGGAATTTTTGGAACAGGGCTCCACAAGCAACTCTGAACGATATATTGAGACCCTGAGAAAGCTTAGAGCACGGCTGTCACGAATTCGGCCTGGAAAAATGCAATTTTGCACCACGACAACGCCCGTCCACACACGAGTCGACAAACTCAAGATGCCATGAAAAGCCTCAGATTTCAAGAGACCTCACCGTACCCATCATACAGTCCAGACCTTGCTCCGTCTGACTTTATCTTTTTCCTAAGTTGAAGGAGTATCTCAAAGGAAAACGTTATGCGGGTGACGATGAAGTTCAAGAAGATGTGCGTCGCAGGTTCAGAGGAAAACCACATGAATTTTTCGCCGACGGCAGGCGACAACTTATTTGACGTTGGCGGATCTGCATAAACCAAGAAGGCGACTATGTTGAAAAGTAAAGGTACTATCATGTAGCAGACATCCTAAACTTTCATTTGGTGTTTAACTTGTGTATGTAGCATCAGTAATAAAGAAATTATGAACTTGGAGGCAAAAGTTTTTGAACGACCCGTGTAAGTGGTAGTGCTCTGATAAAGCAAATTATGCATGTTTTTTTTCCGGAATTTTAAGTTTTAATGTCAATTTCATATCATGATTTTTTTTTAAAACCCATTGCGGTAGGATATATTATTATATTTGTTTATGTTTATTGTGCGGGGGGCGGGGGGTAGGAGTACTAAAAAATTTGTTTGCTTATACTTATAAGCTTACCTTTATTGAGGGCGTCAACAGGTGTGTTTTAAAAACTTTATAACGGGCATCTACAATTGCGTGTCTATTGCTTTGTAATGGGGCCTCTGTAGATTTGTTTATATAGCTCAAAAAGGGACGTCTACATATATTATAGAATAGTTTTATAAGGGGCACCTACACATTTGATTAATAGCTGTAAAAGGGACACCTGCATTATACTGGGCATCTCCAGTTTTGTTTATATCTCTATTAGGGACGTCTACATATTTGATGTTATAGGTATATAAGGCGCAGCTACAGATTTGTTTTATAGCTATAAAAGGGATATCTACAACTTTTTTGTTGTTTGTTTTTGCTTCGTAAGGGACACCTATAGTTTTGTTTTTATCGATTCATGAGGGGCAGCCTCAGATTTGTTTTCACAAGCCATCTGGAGTCAGAGAACCTCCTGGAGTGCACAAAGGGAATTGGAGCCCGCAGTGTCAAAGGTGGTATGCTTGACACGCCTCATTGCCGGCTTGAACATGGCATTTTCTTTGAAATGCAAACGCAGTTCGTCCTTAGCTAAATCCTTTTCCAAAGAGGAACAAAATCGATTTTATTGTTGAAACGGTTGTTGTTGTTTGTTTGTTCTTTCAGGACGAGCCGAAACAGATATTGTATGTGAACGCTTGGGTCAGGCTGGTAAGTCTTTAGAGTTGTAGAGACTTGAGGAAAGGACACACTGTTGTTGTGATGAGAGTTTCCCTATCTTTCTTTATATTGGTCTCTCAATTGGTTAGTTTGTCAAGCTATGTTTACCTTTACCTATCTGTCACCACTCTTTTACTGTAGCCTTGCCTTTGTTTCTTTCTGTTGATGTCTGTTCAGTTTTCCGTCCGTCAACTGACTGTCCATCCGTTTTTCTTCCATCCATCCACCCACCTATCTATCTATCTATCTATCTATCTATCTATCTATCTATCTATCTATCTATCTATTTACCTATCTATCTATCCATCTATCTATCTATCTATCTATTTATCTATCTGGGAAGTAGACTTTGAAACTTTAATATGTTCATAAAGAAAGCCAGAGATCGACTATAGTAAACGGTTAAGAATTGGCCGAGACCTTAACTTTTTTTTGTTTCATTTTTTTCAATCCCCCCTCCCCCCTTCGTAAGTTTCCTGCTGGTCTCGCTTTTAGTCTAACCTGAAAAACACGCTTGGTTTGTTTTTTTCTATTCGTTAAAAAAAATCAAGCAGAAAGGATTGCAGACACTTGTTAAGTGTTTTAAAGTGGTGCCTTTCGAAGAAAGCACAGACTGTGTAAAACCGCTTGAGGCAGTCTGTTGTACTTTTATTCCTACCAACTTGTGGACGGTGTCATTAGGCAGTGTATATGGTGGTACCAACTAAACTATTTACTTAAAGTGAATACACACTAAGTGTATTTTCAGGGTCTGGTTTTTGTCCTAGTTCACTCTCGAGACTGATCAACCTCTGTTGCTGACGACTCTATTGACGTTAAATGTTGTTCATCTGGCTTTAAATGAAGTAAACCAGGCAGGGGGGCTCTTTTCTTTTATTTACAAGCGTTCAATGGGGATCTCGTTAGACCAATCATAGGCTTTACATCAGTGACACTATTGTTCCTGTACTATACTATCCTTTTTCGATTAGGTTCGCAAAAATGTTATTAAATATTATTTTGACATTTCTGTCATGTTCCTTGCAATAACAGAACAATATACTTCTGTTCTTAACATTTTTTCCAAGCATAATAAAGATGTTTTGCAATTGGCAGGTATATGATCGACAAGAAGGTTGCAGATAAGTAGGGTGTCATAATGCAACCTATCAATATGCTCTATTATTTTTAAGGCAGCATGCGTTTATTGTGCTGTGATTTCATATTAGTTTTATCGTCTTTACTGCCTTATCCACTGGGATCTGGTATGAGGATTTATAGAGAAAAACGAACGTTTACAAAGAGCAATAAAGGCATTTGCTTTTATGCTTGTGCTCCCCACTGTGTGTAAAATGAGACGCTCCATAGTTTCGACATAGGGAGCCAGCAGATGGACGGCATTTGTTCAGCGTTTGTATTTCCCTCGCGAGTTCTACAAAAACATTATCAAGCATTACAGACTAGATCATGCGTTGATCCGGAGCCCGTTCAAAATAATAGACCTGGAGTTTGTTTTTATTTGGCAGAATCAGCGGTTTACCTTTGTGTCCTACAGCTTGTTGTATCAATTGTGTCCTTGTTAATTGAAATGGGAAGCATTTCGGAGCACAATTTTGTCAAGTAACAAAACAAAAAAAAAAAAAAAGGATAAAAGCTACCCCAAACTAATAGTGATCTAATCAAAGGAAGTATTTCTCCGTCAAAACAGACTGACGATCTTGTATATGTTCTGTTGAGCCTATGATAATAGGTGTTTGAATAAAGTGTATCCTGAACGCAATAAAATATATTTGGGAATAAGTGCATGCAGACTGATGCTGGTCACCATGCTGTTTTGTCTTATCTTGATCACTTCAGGCATTCAATATTCTGTTTTTACTTACCGGCCTTTATTTCGATTTAGAGACCATTCTTTCATATCTCTGCTTTAGCTGTGATCTTATTATCTCATCTTCTAAAGCTAATCTCAGAGCACCGCCGTCTGTGGTGTAGTCTTTAGGCTCATTGCTGCTGCAAAGCAAATCGAAGGTGTTAGTCAGTCCCAAGTAGGGAAGTTAGTGATATCGAGAATCATCCCTGTCTTTCAGCTGAGATGCTGTATTCCTCAAAAGGGGGCTGGGCCAGCATCCAGGTCTCTTAAATAATCTAATTTGTGTAAATGGAAGTGTAAATCTTTGAAATTAATGTAATTGGAATTGATGTCTCTCTTGAGCTGTCTTTGTACAATGTAAATTGTATTCTTTCTCTTTCTGGTCTCTAGAACATTGCAAACATGTTTGAAGTCATTTTACGCCCATATCAATTCAAATTAGATCATTTATGAGGCGAGCTTCCTATCCTGCCTATCAGGGTCAACCCGGGCAAAAAGGGATGCAACGTACCAGCAGAAAGACCGAGATACTCGATAAAAAATAATTCTCCTTGCAAGAGAATTGAACTTGGGTCTCCTGTGTGCGACAACGAAACGCCTTACCGCTGCACCATAGATCCTGGTAGAATATCGTACAATAGCCCCAATTTATATTCAGCCATCCCTAGTGTGACAAATTATTATACGTCTTAGCAATGTCTGTGTGCGGCACACAAGCAATGAAATACATTATGGAACCTGCCATCTTTCTTATTAGTTTAACCTCTGTGATATTAATCATGTCAACCCAGGTATTTTTAGTTTGTAACCTGCTGGACCAATGGGTAAAATTTGGAGGTCTCGAGTCTCTTGTACAGCACCCAAGTTTAAAATGGGCGTTAAACCAATACAGTCACCATTTAAAACAACAACATAAACAACTCATGTTATTTTTAAATTTTCAAGGATCCCGGTAACTGCACGACGCCTTGAGTTCATTGTTTTCATCCCAATCCTTCATCTACCGCAAGCATAAGAGTTATGTTCTATTCCCGTGAGGGCAGAATTTTTATTGAGTATCTTTGTCTTTCTGCTGGGACGTTGTATCCCTCTCAGCCTAGATTGAGTCCGACTGGCGTGGTCGAAGCTCACCTTCTAAATATTCTGATATTCATGTTGTTGTTTTGTTGTTGTTGTTTTGTTTGATTTCTTTTTTTTTGGGGGGGGGGGGGGTAATTCCTACATGAAAACAATTTTTAGCATATGCTGTTGATGCCTAACACAGTTTTGTTCAAATATCGTCTCTGTCTTAAACCACTTATGTTGTTGTTGTTTTTTCTTTCTTAGAGATGGTTTGATTGTCATTTGCAATGGAACGCGAGCGACTACAAAGATATCGACAATTTAATCGTCCCATTCAACAAAGTATGGATCCCAGATATCACACTGTATGACAAGTAAGTATTTGTATGTTTCGACGGGCTTGCAGCAAATCACCAAGGGAGAATGGGGGTTTAAGGTGGTTCAAATTGTTGATGTCCATACATTAACATTTATAAAGCAACAACTACTCTCTTGCGACAAGGATGCTTGCTCTCACCTTTTCTCTTTATACTGGCAATTGACTGGGCCATGAAAGAAGCCACCAGAGGCAAACGTAATGGAATACAATGGATCCCTTGTCAGCAGCTGGACGACTTAGACTTCGCCGATGACCTTGCACTGCTCTCTCAAACACATGCTCAGATGCAAGAAAAGACCAAGGAACTCAACAGCCTATCAAGGAGTGTTGGCCTACGTATACATCCAGGCAAGTCAAAAGTAGTGAAGCTAGGAAAAGTTTCAAGCCCTGCTATGACAGTGGAAGACACTCCCATGGAAGAAGTGGACTCCTTTACCTACCTTGGAAGTGTCATCGATGGTAAAGGTGGAACCGAGGCAGATGTTCAAGCAAGTCAAGGTCAGCCTTCAAGCAAGTATCAAAAGTCTGGAAAGCAAGCAACGTCTCACTGCACACCAAGATTCGACTCTTTAACTCCAACGTCAAGTCTGTGCTCCTCTACGGCTGCGAAACTTGGAAGACAACGAAGACAGTACTGAATAAAGTCCAGACTTTCATCAACAGATGTATGAGGAGTATTCTAAGAATTAAGTGGCAGGATAGAATAAGAAATGAATAGCTGTGGGAAAGGACAGGACAAAAGGATATAGAAGTAGAAATAGGACTAAGAAAGTGGCAATGGATGGGACACGCCTTAAGAAAGCGTAGCGGAAACATCACAAGACAGTCACTGCAGTGGAACCCACAAGGAGCACGAGGCAGGGATAGGCCACGGGAAACATTGAGGAGATGCGTGGAAAGGGACATGAGAGAAATGAAGCTCACTCGGAACGAGCTTGGAAGGATGGCCCAGGACAGAGATAAATGGAAGGAGCTTGCTTGTGGCCTATACCCTGCCAGGGGTGAAAGGCATTGATGATGAACTACTCTCTTGTCTGCCTTGGAACAAGCAACAAAGAAAAGGTCTAACAAGTAGTGGAGTTTAGTTACTTTACTTTATCCTTCCTTTTATATCGTTAGATGTCGAGGATAGGTGCAGTTTTCTGCCTAGGGCAAGATGGGAGGCTTCTGTTGTTGATTTGTTATTCTTTAGGAGGGCCTCTTTAACACCAACTTTTGCATGGTCTGCCCCTGTACTTGTTTACGTACACGCAGAAAACGGAAATACATCTCAGAACGGAGGCTAAGCCTGAAGATTGTACTTGAGAACAAAAAAAACCCCGCCTACATCCATAGTGCAAGCACCATGTAAAGACAGCTGCTCAAATAAGGAAACAGCAGAATTGTTTGAGGAACTAAGCGAGACTTTTATCCCGATAAAAAAGATTTAAGACAATACCAATTTAATGGGAGACTCCAATGGAATAGTGGGAAAGAGAAGAACTCCCCGGGCAGAACAACTGAGACCTCACAGCAACCATGAAACTTAGAGCAACGAAAATTGCGAGCTACTCTTGGGACTGTGCGCTGAACAGGGGTCTATCATCACCAATATCTTGCTTAAACATAGAAAAAGCCACACTCAGGCCTGGTACAAATGAACATCCTAAACGTATAATTTCAGATAGACTTCAAACTAACTAGATAGGCCACAAGAAGAACAATAGCAGGTGATAGAGTTGTCACAAATTACACTACAAACCCAGACCACAGACCAGTGATGATGAGCCAACGACAGAAAAGAAAAGGAGTAAAATCACTTCAACGAAAGGGGAAAAAATCAATCTTAGAAAATTATCAAGTAAAGAAATAGCAGTCCTAGTGAAAAAAGATATTGAGGACGCTATCAGTAGACTCTCAAGTAATTCTAGATCTTTTTAAGAGGAATGGCAAGATTTCAAAAGCAAAAGCACTGGCACACTAACTCAAGAGTGGGAAACCTGGAGAACTGGCTCACTCACAAATTGAGAAACATTATAACGGAAGGACAAACTCAAAGACACAGTTGCCATAAAGGAGAAAAGTATTCAAATAGTGGAAAAACTCAGAGAAAGAAAAGGATTATCGCAAGACAAGACGTGGAGCAAAATGAACGGTACAATTATGGACCCAGTATGGAGAGCACATGGAGAACTTTTACAAAGAAGTACCAAGGGAGTTCTAGAAAGTGCCCAGGGCAATCTTATTCTAATTTTCAAACATCATAAACGACAAAGAAGGCAAAGCAATCTTTTGTGAAGAAAAAATTACAGAAAGATGGGAAGAATAATCCTTCAAAGACATGGTCAACACACACCAAACAGCCGACACAAGCTCAAATTAGCGAATGAAGTAAAAGCAGCAGTTAAAGAAGAGCCCTAAAAACAAATGACCCGGTAGTGATGGAATGACCGGGTCACATTCCTAACAAGAATGTAGTTTAATGTAGCATGGAAGAACACCGAATCCCAGAAGACTGGCAAAATGCTATTATCGTACCAAAATGGAAAAATTAGGGAAACAAGACAGACTGATCCCGAAAATAATGAGAATTCCGAGTACATACGAGATTCTTGAATAGGTCTTCTTGACCACTTGACTGGTTATTCGAGCTTTGTTGGCCCTCATCTATTTGGTCGCTTTCAAAGACAAGCAGACCAACCCAGATTTCGGGGGTTTTCAGAAAACTTGACATACACCAAACGTGGGCATTGCCCTACCTATAGGAGAAATTTTGTTTCATTGGTGTGTATATTTGTTTGGTTATAGAAAAAGCCTCCTTGTCTTTTAAAGAAACTGAATAAGGGTACAAAAACTTTACATTCGATTTTCTCAAAACAGCATTTTCGGGGTAGCCCCCTTGTGCTTAAAAGCGACCATTTCGTCAGCTGATATCAGTATGACCTGAAAATGTATTACACTTTTTATGGTAGATCATGATTTATCCCCCTTGTGAAATTGCCAGTTGTATTACTCGTCGAAATTCATTTTCACACCTTGGCAATTTTACTCGTGGGATAAATCAGGTTCTACCACCATAACTCATGTAATGAATTCTGTATATCAACACTGTGCTACCGAGTCTAAACATGGACATTGAGCAGCAGTTACTAAAGTAAAACTTACACTTGTGAAATGAGATGCCTAAAAAAATGTTTCAGTCACAAGAAGAAACGAGGCGAGAAACTAGATTGTCAGAAATTATGCTGGCTCGACTCCCTGCTTGGTGTATAAAGATAAACTATAAACAACGAATAAAATGGCATGGACATTAAATGACAAGACTACCACCAAACAGCATAGCAGCGAGAGCACACAAAAGAGATCAGAAGAATACCAAGGAAGTTGCAGGTTAAGGAAAAGTTGAATAGAGAAAGAAGATGAATTAGGGGGGCCCCGGGGGGTGGCGGCCTAAAAAAACGTTAGACAAAAAACAATAAGCAATGCTTCTGGCACTACAATAAACACAAAAAAGACGTGTGACTTTTTTCTGGACACCCTAAAGTAACAGAGACTGGAACAAGTAAAGCTACGTTCATCACTTTTAAACACAAACTGTTGCTTTTTTATATGGCATGGTATGTTATGATATGGCATGGTGCTATAATAATATGTCATGGTTTGGTGGGGTATGGTAAAGTATTGTATTCTATTATATCGTTGCTTGTGGTATGATATGGGCTTCGAATGCTCTTTTGTCAACTCTACAAGACACATTCAAGGCGACGGCTCCGAACTTATTAAACTCTCTCTTTAACGGAACTGAGCCAACTTGGCCGACAGGTTTAAAAACCATCGAAACAACCTTTGCTTTAAACGCCCCATTTGGGATTCGAACCAATGTCACATATTCCATAGCCAAGTATGATAACAATTGAGCTAACGACTCTTTTTTACGGCGTACTTGCAGCATGACAGTTTTATAGGGGTACTTGATGCAATAGTTCCAAAGAAATTACCTTCTTCCCTATATTATTATCGTGCATATTTCAATTCCAGTAAATGTGTTCTTTTTTTTCCTCCACAACTCCTATTTTCCAGTGCAGGGGACGGGCTTGAGGGCAGCAAAGATTACCTTGTCAGCGTAAGCAACACAGGTGTCTGTCGCTACCTATATCCTACTGTCATCAGAGTTTTGTGCAAAATTGATGTCACGTACTTTCCGTTCGACACACAGGTAAGAAAGCAACTAGAATTTAAGCTATGCCCGAAAGAATTTCTTCTTTGTTAAGTGACGACTTGTTTTATCACTGTTTGGATAATATAATGGCGCAGTTTGTGAAGATCGCAAGTTTTGTGAAAAATAAAAATGAATTGATCTATTATTTCTTTGTATATCGATTTCAAACGATATAATTTCTTACCCGATTTTGGCCAAATATTATGATGTGCATACCCAGTTTCTGAGACATCTTTCAAGTGATATACTTTTCATAACAGACATTTTCTTTTATTATAAAAAAATTATGTATAGACTTTACTGATCCACGAGGGGAAATTTGGGTTGTAGTGGCAAACAAGCATTCATGATCATATGCGTGCAGGGTTTTTTTTAACGCATTGACTACTTATTTCCAAATTATATTTCGCAAGGGTTGCATCTAAATGATAAGTATTCTGAGAGAACTTTTGCTGCCAGTTTCGACACCCATTTTTAAAAGTATATAATCTAAATGAATAATCGAAAGGAAAGCCTTACCTCGTCTGTCCCACCCCCACCCTTTTTTTGGGGGGAGGGGGGTTGCTTCTACGGGGATAACTATGTAGCATAGCTACCCCACACTGGGTTTTTACTGGTAATGAATCTTTTAATCTCTGAAGACAAATCGTTTAACGTAATGGTTCACATTCCATGTCGTCCCGCCATCGCGAGATCACAGTCTCTGTTTCTGCTCCTGTAAAAACATAGCTGTAATCTCACAGTGACACCGCGGTGACCTCGGATGTTTCTCATTACGCCAAACTGTTCGAAATGGGAGCGGGCGCAGGGAGGTTTATTTTACATGTCGTACCAGAGAGTTTTAAGTTACTGTTAACCCTCTCTGGTCGTACAGAGGACACGTCTGGCGTTTCTTTTGAACTCCGTTTTGTGTGTGTGT